AAAAGTGTCAAAAGCAGACTGCAGACGTTCAAATGCAAGGGCAACAGTGCTAGCACAACAGTACACAACAGTATCATCTGCATATAGATGTACAGAGGCATCAATGCTTTTACCCACATCATTTATATAAATAGTAAAAAGGGTCGGTCCCAAGACCGAACCTTGAGGAACACCTCTGGGCACATTAAGAAAGCTTGAGGAGAGACCGCTGAATTTTACACATTGCTTGCGATTCGAAAGGTAGTTTTCAAACCAACCAACAGCTTGGTCAGACAGGCCTATATGAGATAACTTCTGGCATAGAATGCCATGGTCCACAGTATCAAAAGCCTTGGATAAGTCTATAAAAAGGGCAGCACAGTAGCTCTTTGCGTCCAAGCTTTCGACAATGTCATTCACTACTTTCAAAGCAGCTGTTACTGTACTGTGCTGCTTCCTAAAGCCTGACTGGTGAGGAGATAGAATGTTGTTCAAGCTTAAATATTCTTTGATTTGATCATTCACCAGCCTTTCAAGTACTTTAGCTAAAATAGAGAGCTTGGAAATTGGTCTGTAATTATTCATCACCATGGGATCACCACCTTTCAATAAGGGGAGAACATTTGCAGTTTTCCAAACATCTGGAATGACATTGTTTGTTATAGAAAGATTCTGGGATCATTTTTTGAAATTGAACCTGACATCATTCCATTTAGAGCCAGAACAATCATCAGAACATCAACCAGCAACTACTTTATCAATTCATTCGTTGTCTAAGTCATTTTTTAGAACAATAATGGTCCAATTGTATTGTTGTCCCTTTCTTCAAATTGTTTTAATTTCGGGCTAGGAGATTATCAAGGACTGGCATTTTGTACTATTGTCTGATGTTCTTTTGGAAAGACTGAACAATAATGAAAACAAACAGTTTTATAATTATATGATATATATAAGTAAATATAATGACAACCTTGTTCATGTAGAAATTACATTTGTGAGACCTATCTTAGTATAAGAATTTGAAGCAGTACTGTTTATAGGTATGATCCATTAGAAGAAGTTAGAGTGTCATCAAGCTTTAGTGTTGCTTAATGTGGGAGGGTCCGCAAACACACACACACTGACACACTTAAGGAGAAAGTTAAGAGCAATAGTTGACATACACAGTACATCTCTGACTTCCTGCATCTAAAAGGAGAGATGTCTAAACCTTTTCCTGCTACGAATTCATTTTTCAGTGACCTCATTAAGGTGAGTCTTAAGTAAAGCCAATCTCACCCTCTTCATTCAGAGCTCCATTATCTATCCATGATGTGTTTGTGCTGGCTTGTAGAGGAATGTGCTGTGTTTCAGTATGTATAAGAGCACATCCAGGCACATGCAAGGTAATTCTCTAATGGGCCTCGGCTCCACTCAATAGCCATCAGTCAATTATAGTCAATATGACACAGCAGAGGGCAGCGGGCGCTCGTGCTGTCACTGTTCTGACTGTCACAAGATTGACCGTCTCTTCTTCCAAATTGGATTGCGTGCAGGGTGAGAGGAATGTTGGTAACACGATTTAAAAGACGTGTCAGAAAAAGATCTCTGGAAAACAAACTCTTGCCACTTAGAATGGATGGAACGAAATGTGTACATTAGACTCATGGCTCATTGGCTTTTCTTTTTCCTCTGCAAGAATAACTGCTGCAGGTATTTCAACAAAGAGCTCAAAAGATGAGTAGAATGCTTAGTATGCGTGGAGAGTGAGCCCAGGGTGAGAGGAAGGTAAAGAGGTTAGAGTGGAGAGATAAAAGCCACAAAGGAGGTGGGTTTGGATGAAGGTGGAAAAAAAAAACAGTCTTTTAATTCAGCCCCTTGAGATATTCTCTCACCATCATGACATGAGAAAATCCTCCTCCCCCCTCCCTCGTGTGCTTTGGTTCATCTCCCTCTTTTGACACATTCCATCTCGTTTTATTTACTGGATCCCACCGCCCTCTCCCCCCCCCCCAGGTGCTTGCTTGGAGACACCCTTTCCCTTTTTTCTTTACAGCTCAATTACATGGTAAAGCCTTTAGTCAGCGCAGGAGGGTGGAGGGGGTCGAATGAAGTGTTTCCCACTCAGCTGTAAATATTCTGTAAGCTACAGCTTGCGATTGTGCAATTTGACGTCACGCTAAACTTCCCTCCATCCGTTGCTCCATCACTCTCTTCTCTGCGTCCCACTGCCTTCCCCCCCCCCCTCTGTTATTCCCCAGGCGGCAGGCACACATATTGACCTTTGGATCCTCCCATTTCTATCTCGTGGTACCTCAATCGGAGAAGGGGAATGGAGCATCTTTCTGTGAATACATAAAAACACACACAAATATACGTGCAGGCATATTGTTAAACACACTCAATCATATGCACCCGCACAGTAAATATCCCGATGCTACGGCGCCTCAGACTTTTTGTTTTTTAAAACGAGGGTCATTGTTTACTGTTGAATGCATTGAGTCCATTCCTCCATATTTAATGACGAAGCTGTTTGTTCCCAGATGAAAAGATTAGCTTCACTAAGACATAACTTGATGGATCAGTGTGTGCAAGGGGGCCGCTCGGCCACAGAGACCGCTGACCAGAATTTGGTGCCGCCGCGGAGAATAGCCCTCTATTGTGTGGTTGTCATGCTGGTTGGCTGCTGTGGTGCGCACACACAGACATACTGATGTACACACATACAGGCCGAGACACTTATCACCAGAAAGAGTCAGTGTCGGGTCAGCGCGGCCTGTGGACAGCGCTGTATTGTTGCTAGCCTCCATCTCTACTGGACATTTAACAGTGCAGGCATTCAGCTGTTCCTGGTGACTCAGGACCAGCGGGCAGCGCCAACACAACCTGCCCTCACACTAACACACTGTTGTGTTCAAGAGAGATCAAAGATAACTGAAGAATATTTAGTCTGAGAAATGTTGGTAACAATTATTAATTGAGGGAGATAACTACATGAAAGATCTAGGACAATAGCATGTGCTGTATGAAAGGGGACTTGTAAAAAAAGTACATTTTATGAATTAATATAGGTTAAATATGTCAATAAAGGGCAAGTAAAGTAAATGGGTGAGGGTTTAAATCAATGTGTAACTGCTCCTAACACTAGGATGGGTCAAATGCAGAGAAACCATTTTGTTACATAGTAAGTAGGCCTACTGTGTAATGACAATAAAAGTATAAAAAAAAAAAAAAAACCCTAACCCTATCCACATAGCCCTATTGAACCTATCACTTAACCTCCACTCTTATGACCCCCACTGAGAGCCTATAGAGATTAATATAAAGCACACACTGTGATCCCTATTCATTGGCGTCCAGTGTTAACATCCTGTAGAAAATCTGACCAGTCAGATCTTGAGTTGACTTTTGTGAGCATTTCTGGCTTCCTGCCAAAACAATGCACATGTCAAGTCAAGTGGCTGTTTGACTTTGACACTCCTTCCAGCTCCTCGGTTTGACTGGCATATTTTCCTCAAGACCCTTCCTTTTTTCTCCATCCATCTTAAGGGGTGTTGGAGCCTGTTTGAGAAAGGTCACATATGAGATCATAGTTTATGTACATTCTCATAGTTGTGTGTTAGAGGTGCTGTCAGTCAGCCCTCTCTGAGTGAATCAATATGTCTTTTGTCTGCCAAAGAGTGAGCCTCCATCCCATAAGCCTCAGCTTGGCTTTGTCTGATGTGCACAAACACAGTGACATCTCACATCCCCAAATCAGCCAAAACACTCAGTCAGTGACCATCTTTTCTGTCTCTTTAACAGGATCCGTGCGGCCCGTGGATTTGTTTCAACACATTTGGACAGTTTGTTGACACTGTCATTTAGTGGTGATGAGTTCAGATGTTACACATTTTTGCAAAGATATTTGTGTTATTGGATAAAAGTAACAAAAGCAATTGCATAATCTGTGGAGTTGGTGAGGATATCGCACGATTAGAGACGGAAAAATCCAACTTTTTTCATACTTCACCATTTTGGATACATTTTATAGTCATCATCTGTCAATACGGACTGATCGGGTGTCAGGTTTATCTGTATAATATGTGATAATTGGGATCATTTTAAAGGTTGGGTAATTGAGATTTATGTTTCTTTTTTGTCTACATTTCTTAGGGTAAGGATATAACATTTTGTCATTTTAAATTAGCAACAATACAAGCACTAAAGCAGCGCTGGGGTTTGGATTTGTGTCTGTTTCTTCCTGTCCATGTCTTTGTTACCTTAGGATAACCATGGTCAATCTTTCATCACAATCCTAACAACCCACATTAAGTAATAGCTCCTTGCTAGCTCTACACCACACCGTGCCAAGCCTATAGACAATTAGCACTGTTAAGCTACAGTATATAACCTATTGCTGCAATCTGCAGAGCTTTATTTTACTTAATACCTTCACCCTATCTCTCTGTCTCTATGTGCCCTCATTTCTCCCTTACTTCATTTACTCTAGTTAGATTCCGGGCTGGGAGAAGCTTGTACGCTGAAGTTCCTTTCCAATAGGGCTATTAAAATAACATGCAGCTAGCTCTTATTTAACAGACTGCCTTTTAATTATGTGTGGGGAGACAACTGAGTGTGATTCAGTTCATGCTGACATCAGCAGAAGCCTTTTTACTTCTGGTAAAAACACTGCGAGGGAAAATGTTCCAGGCGCACCAGACAAATGATATTTTAAATGCCTCTTGCCTTGTCGATGTTATCATACAAGTATTTAAAGGGGAAATTTGAACACTAACTAATCTAACAATCGCAATGTCACTTCCTGAGTTTGAGAGAAAGATAGTTTCCAGTGGGTGAGGGCTGGTCATCTGCTACCACAGCCCTCCTCTGGTGCCCCGTGGTGCCAGTGCAACCAGCCTGGCACTTGTGCGCACACACACATACACACACACACATACACACCACCAGGGCATGGCTGAGCTAATGACTCATCTCTCTTCCCCTCCTCTTCTCTCCCTGTCTGTCTGTTCCTTTGTATTTCTCTGTCTCTGTCTGTACAGGGGACATCACTCAGAAGGGCTATGAGAAGAAAAGAGGCAAGCTGCTGGCCCCGTACATCCCACAGATACAAGGTAAGACACCGGCCTGCAGGACATTTACTGACCGGAACAGGTTTTTATCTTGGCTCTGGCTGCCTTTTAGCACAGCAGTTAGCATAGTGTCCTTGCAAGAGCATACACGATGAGAACAAGTATACAAATATAGGAGCAGTTTCATTTACTCACAGCATCATTTAGTAAAATAAATACAATCCCAAAACAGTAAAGAACACTGATTCAGAAGTTGCATTTTCTTTTAACTTTAGAAAATAAAGTATTTTTTGTATGAGAGGTACCAGATGGAACATTACATGGTCATAAAGCTTTGAGAAAGGATACTGTGAAGGCTTTTGACACATCTATACTTTATTCAGCTGGTTAGATACTGGATATATTAGGTCTGCTGTTGTGTCCTTGATTCCTCGGGTCTGTTATCAATGCCATCGCCCCGCAGCAAGCATATATCATAGTGTAGGTCGGGGCCAAATGAAAATAGATGCTAATCATCCGAAGCTAGGAAGACCTACTGTAATGGATTAGTAAATATTCAACGTCTCTGCTGTAATGATACATTTAGTCTAATTTACATGTTGAGTGTGTTTGTGTGCTGCTTTCATAACACTAAAGCTTAGCTCTAATTATTTAAAGGAATGTTATCTTTATTTAATCGTCAGCTCATGTGTATTTGTGCCTGCCATCCTGTGTTAGGCTATGGGTGTTTGAGAAGAGAGGTATTACATTTGGCAAACAGGAGGCGTAAAGTTTCCCAGATTTATGTCACTACTTATTATCTGTCCATGGCTTTTGAGTCTGAGCGGGCATACATTTATATTTCAATCCAGTGTATTTTTATCCCAAGTCAAGCAGTCAGTCCAAGGTGCCTCGGTCAGACTTTAAGGTCGAGGTGGTTTGCGGTGAATCCCAGAGGAGAGTCACTGTGAGCTTCATGCTTCTTTGTCCTTTGGTCCATGGCAGTCTTTGGTTTGGCCCGCTATCAGAACACCAGGCCTCAGTGGAAACCACAGTCTGTTGTGGGTCGCTCGCTCGAGGCTTTCCACTGGAGTTAGCAGGTCTGTTATTAAACTTTGTGGAACTATGTACTTCATTTTCTGTCTTTCTCTTGCTCCCTTGTTAAAGTGGATTCACGTGTTTCCTTTGTGTTGTTTAATTTTAGTTACACTCTGGCTGGATGCTAACACCTAAAGAAAATAGTTGATATATAGGGCAGAAATGGATGGGCTTTTGGAGGGAGTGATATTCTTCCAGCAGGATGAATGAATGTTTTGGGACTTGATGACACATCCATCCAGCACGGTGAATCAGTGGGTTAGGGTTTACCAGCTAAAGGGTTGAAATAGAACACCAATGGACTGAGCACCATGCTAAATTCCACAAGCTGATTTACTGCCTTATATTTCACTGTTGTCACAGGACTACATGTGCCAAGTGCAATAAAGCATAGATGCACAGCCAGATTGTTAAGATTTATGAGAGCTGATGAATTTTCTTTGTCTATATTTTTAGTGTGTGGGCTTCACTGTGAGCTTTGAAGGTACATAATTGCTTTAGGTGTCAAACATACAGGAAAGTCAACCATTTAGGAAAAGTTGCATTTGAATGTAAGTTTATAAGCATTAAAATGGAGCTCTGTGGAGGAATTTCTGTACCTCCGCAGTGAGAATACAGGTGTGTTGACTTGAGTGATGGTTTTAAGACATCGAAATTAAATCTTACGACTTTGATGAGTCCCAGGTCGGCATTGAAACCAAGCCATTCATTAATATGAAGCATGTGTCATTTCAATCAATTATTTATGTCTGTGATGTAAATTGACAACTGTGTACAGCTCATTAGCCAGGCATATTTGCTATCTAGGAAGTAAGGCATGGCACACTGTCACACCGGTAATTGTTGGCATCAGACGAGTGCACAAAACTCATCAGGGTTCGCTCTGGACCAATAACAACATGTGCTGTGACGGAGCATGCCTCTGATTGGCTTAGAGCGGCATGTCTCTAACGTGTGTTCTTCCCAGCAACCCGGGTCTGGTGTCTTGGCTTGTTTTTATAGACCTGTTTCCTCTGGGAGCTGGGGAAAGGCTGGAGTGTGAATGGGCTGTAAGAGCAATATCAGGGACAAGCATATATTAATGTCGTCCATCAATGATTAGGGATTTGTTTGTGTGGTGTTGTGTGTGTGTGTGTGTGTGTGTGTTGTGTGTGTGTGTGTGTGTGTGTGTGTGTGTGTGTGTGTGTGTGTGTGTGTGTGTGTGTGTGTGTGTGTGTGTGTGTGTGTGTGTGTGTGTGTGTGTGTGTGTGTGTGTGTGTGTGTGTGTGTGTGTGTGTGTGTGTGTGTGTGTGTGTGTGTGTGTGTGTGTGTGTGTGTGTGTGTGTGTGTGTGTGTGTGTGTGTGTGTGTGTGTGTGTGTGTGTGTGTGTGTTTTAATAAAGCTGGTGTCATATTTCAAACTTTTGATATTGAATAGTTTACTTGATGCATGTGTAAATGTGTTGCAGCATTTTCCCTGTGTGTGCTGCTGCTGTCTGAGAGTTGCTGACAGTGTGGAGCTCACTGATCCCCTCTAAGCTGCCGCTGAAAAGCCGGGCGAGCTGATGGGTGGCAGGCTGGCCTGGTGTGTGACCGGGCAGCCAGATCGGTGTAGATCCAACACGCTAAATGTGTGATGACGCTGTCCTCAAAAGGCTGTTTTCCAATTGGTATACATTTGATTAACAGCGTTCGCAATATCACAGCAACTTCAAAGCTGTTAATTTTGCCCAAAACGTATAGATTTATGTTATTCCCCAATGGCACTTTAGTTTAACTCCAGCCAGCCTCCACAAAGGATATTGATTGTTTTCATTTGAACATAATCAACTTACTGTTAGTTTAACAAGGTCTGTATTCATTTCAGTCGGATAACATTTAGAACGTCTTTTAACAATAAATCAACCTTTTTATTATTTTTTTAATGTATTTACAAAACTGTCAATCCCCTTGCCACTGATAGGCAGCTTTGATTGCTGGTTCAATTTGTAGTAATGTTACCACTGGCTTGTTGTGCTCAGTTTGCTGTGTTTGCCTGAAGATTTGCAGTGGTTAATGTCCATATTTTAGAATCCAGTTAGCGGGTTTTAATTGGAATAACTAGATAAAAAAAAAACTCTTTAGCAGGAACTTGAGTTTATGATGTATTGGGTTAGTGCTTGTCCCTTCCACAGAGGTTTTAGTACTCTACTCACACAAAATGTATTTCTTTATATGATGTTCTGCTGCTTTGACATATATCTGCAAGTATGAAACATGCAGTGTTTACGTGAAAGAACAAAGACATGAAACTTCAATCATATACTGCCAATCACCCGTGCACTAGTCGGTATTGTTTGTCGAGCTACAGTACTACAGAAGCATCCTTTCAAAGTGTATTCTCCTCATTGTCCCACTGTCAGGAAAATATACTATATAAAGCTTTCGGATGTATTGCAGAGTTATAGTACAGATGCTGTTCCTTTGAATGCTTCCTGCTCCATTGTGTGTAAAGTTGTCCCTCATCTCTGCCTAGAATAACTGCAAAGGCCTTTCATTGCTCTATATGGAAATACAAACACCTTCTGGGAGCTGCATTTCTTTAGTCAGAAGTATGTGTGCATGTAGACAATTTATAATGCACAACATAACATACTGTACCTTAAAGGTCCCTTATTATACTCTTTTTCATCAATATATTATAGGTCTCAGATATATACAAAACATGTCTCTGAAGTGTTTGGCTACAAATACCAAACAGATCATTGTAGCATCCCATAATCCCCTCTGTTTCAGCCAGTGGTTGCGTTAGACATTTTCGTTGTCCGTCATTTTGACGGACAGGATCGTAAAATTTCCGTCATAATCCATTATTACCCGTCATTTTATTTTTCATGTTTTAATGATGAGACATATTTCATATTTATGTTTGGGTACTAAGCAGCAAATGTTCATTCATTCCTTTTTTTTATGATTCATACAGAACTTTTAAGGGCATGGAGAAAAAAAAAGATGAACATAAACACCGACCGTGCGGTCACTTTTCATGTCAAAACGAATATGAATGATTTATTTTTCCTTGCCACTTGCTTGTCCCTCTGCTGCTGGCTGAACGTTGTCAGTTTTAGTCTTACTGGCTTGTCCTTCATCCTCCACTGCATCAATCCCTCTTTTTTCACCTCGTTTATCCACACCATCACAATTACTGGGCTTATTAAAAAAGCTTCGGACACTCAGGTGCCGTGACATTTTGCGATTGCTAAAGCCGGTTAAACAACGAGGTAATCAACGAGGTCAAATACAAGACTAGACAATAGCTACTTAATATACACACACTCGCCACCAACTGGACAGGGGTGTGAATTACTAAATAATAGTTACAGTAGAGTACAGTAGATCGCCCTCAGTCGACCTGGCCACTAAGGATGTAATATAATGTGGGCCGCTGGTGGACATTTTGGCGCTGTTCCGAGTTGTGTTCTAATCTGTCAAAATGACGGACTGCTTTCAGAGTTTTCCGTCAGTCTTGGAAAAATTACGTCATAGACGGAAAATATTCGGTTAACGCGACCTCTGGTTTCAGCCCTGTTTCAAAAGTGCTGATTCTCTTACTTTGACTTTAGATGAAAATAAGGAGCCACTCCCCATGCGAGAGATATTTGGTTTTGGTTCATTTTCAGACAGGTTTTTATATAAATGGATCAGGACAAAAAGAGAGGGGGTTTTTATTCCTGAAACTTTCAGAGTCTCTTAATACAGAGGGGACACATATTTATGTATGAAATACATTGCATAATAGGTGACCTTTAATAGTCGCTGAATTAATTGGGTATAAAGTTAATCTGGATCAAACTTGTGATGTTCTGTCAAATAAGATTAATCTCGTTCTGTCATACTTTGATTTATTAGAAATATCGATACTTCCTTCCTTCTTCAAATACATGAGAGGAAGAAGAAGTGAACCAATAGAAGAAGACTACAAATAGAGCCCTTGGCACGACCTTCCTCCAGAAGGTTTCCCCTCTGATGTTAACCACTAGTTACCTAATAAGACTCAAATGAGAGTTGCGTAAGCAGAAGGATGAATCACAGCCTGTGTCACGCTGAGCAGAGCGGTTTGACATCTTTGAGGGTTTGATAATTTTAGAACGCTCTAGTTAGAAGATGTTTTCTGTTTGACATTCATGGTGCTTAATCACCTCCCTTCTGTTACGCCTGTGCACATTGCATATGCTTTCCTTGGACAGCTTTAAGGCAGTTGGAAAGCTGCAAGAGAGGCTGGATTAATTTAAGTGAAGACTTTCTCAACTCCAAGCTACTGTATTTGAAGAAAGCCGCCTAAGAAGGGATTAGTATTAAGCTTGTGGATACTTGATCTAGTCAAGCAATATGCAGAATGGTGCTCTACTGTACGTCCAAGGTACATTCAGAGTGTCTAACTTGATTTAATGATAGTGGTTTTTCTGCTGGTCAGCATTAGAAGAAAGTATAACTTTAGATGTTGTCCTGTAATAAACTCTCCTCTCCCTCCACAGGTGTAGATCCTTCTCTGCAAATTGACAACAGGATCCAGGCCTCTTCCCAAGCTGTTCTGTCAGGTTCCAAACACCACAAGTCCCGGGCGGCCAACACCCGGGATGAACGCTTCAGATCCGGTAAACATGTTTCCATACTGACTGACAATTTTGAATGCCTGGCACTCCTCTTTTTTATGCCGTGGCTTAACTGAATGTATGTGTTCTTTTAGATTTGCACACAGAAGCCGTCCAAGCAGCTTTGGCAAAGTACAAGGAGAGGAAGATGCCAATGCCCTCCAAGAGACGATCTGTGTTAGTTCAGTCTTCTGTTGAGGCATGCACCCCGCCAGGTGAGACCTCGGTTCCTGTAAACCCTCTGTTGTTCCCCAAAGGCAAGGTGTTTCCTGTTCACACACAGCCTAGGCTAATGCTCACACTGGGTTGTTTACATGTTCTGACCTGAGCATTGAAGGCTAAACTGCAGACACTGTTGTTCCCAGTGGTGGAAGATGATGTCGCGAGGCATTGCCACTGGAAATAAATATGCATTTTGATGAATGTGTCTATTCTTTGTGACTATAAAGGGCTCAGTTCTCACTGCTGTGTTTCCAGGCAGAGCTTCCCACATGAGTTGCATAATGGATGCATAATCAGATTTTTAACATAGTCTCAAAATGTTGAACCTTTCTCCTGCTTTTATAGAAATGTGTGTTGTGGGTCAGTTCATTTTAAGGTCATTTGACTGCGTTCTTTGCTTTTCTTGTTGCAATTTTCAAGGCCTCTCAAAGCCCTCTTTTTGGAAAAAAAAGTATTTTATCTTCAATCTTCAATCAGTCAGTAAGCTCTCTGTGCAAGATGTGATGACAGAAGACTTGCCAGTCTCTCTGTAGTGGCTTTATCATTGGTGTATAAGAGTTAATTGGTGGGGGGCCTTCGAGCCTCATGTCTTGGGTAAAGAGAGGGGACACAGCGGTGGAGTGAGTAAACAGATTAAGAGCTCAGACATTGGGGTTTAAACAGGAGAAGGACGGGGTCTCTGAGTGGTTGTTTTCAGTCACACTGAGTCACCTAAAGGAGAAGGTACATAGGTTTGGCTAACAGACCACCATTACTTACATACTGTACATAAAAAAAATCTGGTGCTCTTCTGGGTTTTATGGATAATGGTAGCAACAGGTGGTACTGTTAGCACACTAGAAAGGTTGTGTTACTTATAAATTAGTATAACAAAGTATTTTAGCAATGCTAGCAGCATTTTTTCTCTAAGGAATACTATGTTGGTTTGTCAGTGGGTTGGCCAATCCACTACCTTATTTTGGATTCAAATATCACAACAACTGTTGAATTTGTGCTGAGATTTGGAATAGACATTCATGGTCTCCAGGGGATAATGAAGTCTACTGTCTTTGTTTAATCTTTAATAAACAACCAATATAAATGGTTACAGTCGCATCAAGTCATGCCGATCTTTAATTGGAAATGCATCTTTCTGTGATCTCCTGACTTCTCCTGTAGCTCCACTTTGATTTTACAATGTACACTACATAGATGAAGCATCGATTGAACCTGGACTGGCACAAGTGTGTAGAATGTAATTTGTGCGTCAGTATAGTGACCAACCATTATGAAGTTGCTTCAGCCAATAGGATTGGATTGATTATTTTATAGATACTGTAAGTCAGGGAAAACAACCTCAAGAATTTGACTGCTGGGTTGAAGCTTCATTCGATTTAGTATTATATCTTTATTGGACCTGACTTTATTGCCTAAACAAAATAGTGAGCAAGCGTAATTGAAATCTATCTCTGCTTAGGTTTTCTCTTTTTCTTATATTCTTCCTTACCTCCTAATCCTCCTTCAATGCCCGACCTTATCTCTGACTCACTCTTTACTATCTATTCTTGTTTTTGTCGTAGTTTTCTGTGACTAATACCTCTTCAGCTTTTCAGTTTCCTTTCAATTCTTTCCACCTCTCTATTTCTGCTTGGCTTTTCTTCTCTGACTCTCTCTTTCCCTCTCCCTCTGTGTAACTGTGTCAAGGTTACTGAGATTCTGAGACTGATTGGAGAGAGGCAGAGGAATAACAAACAGAATCATAAATGTGAGATAACCCCCGTGGGTCCGCTGGTTGTAGATACATTAAATTCCAGCTTGTTATAATCAAACCTGCTCCAGCCTTGCTCTGAAAGCCTCTGCAAGGGCACGAGTAAGCCTGAAAAATACTCTAATAGTTTCTCATTCATTGAATTTACTTGTCCACCACATACTGTGAGTGATGAGAAGACAGATCAAGATGAAAAAGTCTCATTAGTTTGGAGAACATCAAGAGACGTGATCATAAACAGGCTTGATCTCTCTTTTTCAGAAAATCTATTTCTCATCCTGTGGACTTGGGATATGTTTTCCACATTAGTTAGGCGTTGTTCTGTAAAGTGTATGCACATGTGCTAGGACTTGTATAATATGTGGACATTAATGAGTTTTATACATTATATGGGTCATGGCTGATGAGTAATGGGGTACAATTAGAACTTTCTTGGTGAGAACATATGTTTATTTTATCACATGGTTGATGTCTAAGCCTGTTTCGCCCTTTCATTGAACTCAGTTCAAAGAATAGTAATCTCAAACTGCTCATGTGTAACTTCAGTAACGCTGTCGAAAAATACGAGATTTCTGGGAGCTTTGCAGATGACGTGGATTGTGTTCATTTCGAATGATCCTTACCTTGCTTTGAAGTCGTTCCTGTTTCAGGCTATTTTTGCCTAGACCAACTGCTCAGCTGCCTCAAGGGACAGACAGTAAAATCATCAGTGACTGAGTTTGAGTGCAAGCCATAATAACTTAAACATACACTACATTAGCAAAGTCTTAATACAATATCATATAGGAAAATTGGTCATGCTATTTCAGTTGATGTTTGGTGTGCAAAAACACCTTCAAGCAGGAATACCTGTACCTGTTTGATAATATGTAAGTCAAATGTTTTGTATTAAACATCCATATTTTGAGGGCTGTTTTTAACATTCCTAAGATTAATATGAATGTGTATCTTATAAAGAGACCTTTGTTAGTCGAATACCTATGATTAAGTTACGTAAGCCTACTTTCAGTGTGCACAAACTCACCTCTTGTTATTGACATTCTCCTGTCTAGAAATACAAAACATTCTGGTCTGTTGTTGAAGGCTATCACAATTTATCATTTATAATACACATACTGTATACATTGCAAAGGGCAATGTTATGTTGTGTGTTTTTGAGGCTACTTTTAGAGGCAAACAAATATCCAATACATACAATACCAGTGAAGACATGACCCATTAAACAACATATCATCTCCGAGCTTTACAACGTCCATTTCCATTTCAAACATCTGGCCATCCTACTAGCTTATATGTACTCTCTCCAGTATGTATAAGTAGAATAATGTATCATCAGCATATCATCTAAATCCTGCGGCTCCATATCTCTGTCCACTGTTGTGACGCTGCCCTGTCTGTACCTGTCAAACACAGACACCTCCTCGGCGTCAGAAGACGAGGGTTCGCTGCGCCGGCAGGGACGTCTGGCCACCTCCACGCCCTACCAGGGCCACGGCCACCCAGCCGTGGAGCACTGGTTTAACCGTGTCATCCAGGGTTCGTCCACCTCATCCTCCGCGTCATCCACCTCATCACATCCGGGAGGGAGATCCGTCAACACCACCAACACCACTGCCCACGCAGCCCTCAACGCCAACGCCGCAGCTACCGCACTGGCCGACCTCATGGCACACACCCAGCTAGGTCAGTGACACACACACAGTCTCACACAACATCACCTTACGGCTGCTCGATCTGTTTGTTCTTGTCCCCTTTAATTGACGCAGCCCTCATACCAGGTTGTTGTAGTAAGCGGAAGGTGTTGTAGAAATGGAATAAAAAGTGGTCTCAGGCCAAGCAACAAAACAACATTTGAGGTTTTTTTCAAATATTGTTTTATTCTTATATCATTCTCAATTTTAATTGTAGAAGAATACGTATTGATTCAGTTTTAATTGCCTGTTCAGGGTAGAATTAAATTCCTATACAGTCCTTCAGCAAGCCTGCAGAATCCCCTGCTTACTCGTATGGTTTTGAATCCCTCCGTCTAAATAAATGAATGAATCTGAGTCGGCAAGCAGATTTTTTTTCACTTTTTCCATTGTCTGTCTTTTTTGCTGATATAAGCATAAGTTGAGCCAGCCAATCAGAATTGATGTCTTGTCAAAGGTGACATCTTAACTTGTATTGTGTTGCTCAGACAGCTATTTCTATAACTGTAGCTCCATCGCAGGCAGACAGCGCTGTCTTACACATCTGCTACTTCCAATGCCTTATCTCCATATAGAAGCATAAAAGCACTTGAGGCAAGACAAAGAAAACATGCGGCAGAGTTTTATTTAACATCTCTCTAATTAGTCGTCTCCCTCTGCCATCTCACTGTCATCCAGTCATGTGAAAGGGCACACAGCCACTTCCATACAAGTCTCTAGCTAATGAGACTCACTGGATTCATCTCCATACGTCTCTCAAACAGCAGCAAAGTGAAATGGTGTCTTGCTCGTGTATGTGTGTGTTGATGTGTGTGTGCTGGCAGACGATACTATTAGGATGGAGCTGTCAGATTTCTGTCCAGCTTGTCCCCCTCAAGGTTGCTGTCATAAAGTAGAAGCAGTGACTGGTGCTGAATGTGGCTGTAAATAAATCTCCTCTATTATCCTGTCCCCTGACCCCTCAAACTCTGTCTGTCATTCACTTCAGCTATAAACAATGACTAGTAGGCCATCATCGCACGCTTTGAAATCATTCATTTGTGTTGTGCTAATATATATAGTCAATATAGTACACATAAAAGCCATTACATTCTTCAAAGGGAACCTCAGCCCGTACATCACCATTTTCTTTTTTTGTCTGGGTCCAACAACACTGTTACCATATAGCCCTTCAGTGTGAACAGGTTTACTTTATAAACCCCCTTTTTTTTTGCCAATGTAGCATTTTCAAGTGTTTATGATTTCTATAAGAGTCACTAATTTGGTTTAAATAAGTTACAAGGTAAATTATGTAATTAATGGATCTGTGAAAAATCATTGTGAGTTTACCACTAACGGCAACAAATGAAAGCCTTAGCCTATTAATCAAACTAAACAGGCATCTTGTTGCCATGGATACATTCCTTACCGAGGGTAATGCATCTGCTGATTAGAAGCCATTTTTTCATTAGCATGGCATAAGTGAAATTCTTGTTAAAGGTCTTCTGCAGGTAAAGACTACTTTGAGAGGACATGAAGGCATTAAGCCTCCTTATCAAATCCCCACGTTTTTGGATCGGTTTATTTGCTCCTAAAGCAGATTTTTATATATTAGAGCTAGCCTAAGTAGGCCTGGAGTTTGCCCTTTTAACCCCCGACGCCCCACTCATCACAGATAACCACTCAGCACCCCCCCGATGTGACGGGGTTGTTGGAGCGCTCCTCGCTTCATGCAGAGCGGCCCCAGGTGGCCTCGGTGCGGGGCATTTCCCGGGGCAACAACCACCACACCAGCGTCATGGAGACCGCAGATGGTGAGTTTCTGACTCACACTCACACAAACACACAGAGAAACACACAGAAACACACACAGAAACACACACAGAAACACACTCATGTCCCTTTCTCCCCTGCTGTCTTCCCCTCTGTCTTCCTCTTAGTCAGTCTGCCTCTCAGACTGGCACAAGCTGCTGACTGACCCTCTTGTGTTGCCATGGTAACACTGCACCTCTCCAACCCCTTCCAAAAAGAAAATATGTCTTCTACCTAATGCCTAATGTGTCATAGACACTACCAAAACACAATTGATAATGATTTACACAGGAATTGTTTCACTTGAGTCCTAAAAGCGTCAGGTCTAAGAGTCAGAGTTGTAAACCAAATGATTAGTGGTGATTCCATTTTTTTCATGTTATTTGTCAATCAGTGCATAACATGAACAGCTTATCATAACATTTCTTATTCATAATTCTCTCACAGCGAACTCTTATCTACAAAATATATTGCCAGCTGTTTCAGAAGCTGTACAGATGTGTAACCAGTGAAATCACTATGAGGATGTGTCATAACTAGTTATTTTCTCTCAGTATTATTTCTACTTTTCTCATTCATCAGTTATATAGTATGTTTGAACAGTGATTTGCATAGCGTTAATTGTCCTCCGAGAGTTACCATGGAGGACAATCCCTTCGAGAAGTCATTAAAAGCAGCTCCAATGTGTTCCTGCTCTCTCCATCTCCATTCTTTCAACATCAGAGCTGAAATGCTGCTTTGAATTAATAGCCAATGTATAAAATAAGCCAGCAGTCTGAAAACTGGAACATTAACTTCCTGCCATCCATCTTCTGTCATTAAGAATGTGTGCGTTGGCTGCGTTATCAGTGCAAATACATGCTGAACCATCCCACCCTGCTGACATAAAGGGGAAGAGAGTGTTTAAAGATGTAAACAGTGTCATTGGTATCCCTTCTGTTTGGCTGTGCGGTTTTCAAGATGTTTCAAACCCACGTTGCTTATGTAAGTTTTCACACATCATACGAATAAATAAATCATATTTGTTGTTCTGGTGCAACAACAACAATCTTTGTCTTGGCGTCTTATAAGCCTGCTCTCACTTGCGTCTGGCAGTTGGTAGATTTCTCTATCGCACACTCACACACAAAGTTAGCAGGACTGTTTCGTTGACATCCTGATGTGTCTCTCCTCCAGGCTGTGAGTGGCGAAGTGAAGGATCCCTCACTTTAATGGATGGTATTTATAACAGTTCTTCCAACTCTATGGCAGTCTTCTATATGTGCACTCTGCTGTGTGTGCATTTATGTCTGTGTGTGTTCCTGCCTTCGCTTCCATTGTCAGGTCTAGCACTTGTCTAAACGTGTGTTTCCCAAAATATATGTAGAGCTAGAGTCTTATGATTGTGTGTGTAATAAAGTGTGTTACGGCTTTAGCATTGATAGCATCTACAAGTCTAACCTATGCTCTTAGAATTGGTAATGATAAAGCAGACTGTGAAGAGGCCTTATCCATGCCATGTGTAACTATTCAGAGTTGTGAATAATTAGCATGTTGACATACTGGTTTCTGCGCTCACACTTACACTTCAGTCAGTTTGTGATTCTCACTACTGTGACACAAGCCTATTAGCCTGTAGCCACAGGGTGGGTGCTTTGATGGCAGCCGTCTAGCACTGTTGCCATTTGAACAAATAGTTGGGTGTGGAAAACATACCACACAGTAACTTTGGGTCCATCTGGATTTAGAAAGTGGCACTATAAGTGTTGTTTTCTTGCTGGAGCATGTTTGTCCAAAACAAACCACTTATCCAAGTCTCAAGTATTGTCTTTGTATGAAAAGTATGATATTCAGCTTTGCCTTCAATGTTGTGCAAAAACTAGGAAAAACACAGAACAAGCGCTGGGTGACACGTTCCTTCATTATGATATAAATACTTGCTTTTGTTGTTAATTCTCAGTATAGCACCAAATGTGTATTAATCCATGGCTGAAAACAGTCCCCAACAAATGCCCTGCTGTGTTAGTTAATGACTTAGTGACAATGAAAGAATAAATTGTCAACTGTTTTTACATAATTGCAACATCAGTAGGAACAAATGAGCTTGTGGCTTAGAGCCAGAGTCAGGGTGAGGAGGTTGTAAAATATTTAAACATGGACCAACCATTGTTGGTTTTGGTATTTCCATGGGATTTGTAAACAAAAGAAAAGGTAGAATAAGGCCATTCTTGCTTTTTTTATGCAAAGATGTGTTGTGTCATTTTTTCCTAAGGCCAGTGTTTGCTTTAGTAATTGAATGTGGTGGGTGGATAAATGATGATATTTTAAATGTAGTCATCATCATAAGAGGTTCCTGGTTGGCTGTTATATTAACGATCATGGCACCTGAGTGGGTGGGGTTCAGGGCCTTCAGATGTTGTCCTGTGTGTCTGGGGCTTTCTAATTGGCCCATCAGGTGCAGATCTGACCCCCCACGCGTCTATTCCCAGTACATCTGTCCCTGCATGAGGAGGCAGAGTGTGTCTGAGCCAGGCTTATTATAGTAAGATAGATCAGGCACACTGCATGCAGCTGTGGCCTTCTTCTCCTGTGGCTGTCTGGAATGTCTGACAGACCACCTCTCACAACTAAGTATGAATTCAGATGGAGGAAATGATGTCCAATGATGACTATAGGCTGCACGTCCATGTCTAAAAATGTGAAGGAAATCTAACAGAACACTGCCTCGTGTGTTGTTTCGCTCCTGTCCTGCTTATTTATTATGTTCTTATGTCTTTATAAAGCTCCATGTCTCTGCGATTATTGCTTTTGAGTGTTGCATTTATGTTGTGGTTCAGCAGTTGGAACCTACTCATCAAATAACTTGCATATTTTGATAAAACTGGGGTAAAGTTAAGGGCTGCATCCAAAGAATACTTACATTTTCGGTTAATCTGCTGATTATTATTTTTGATTAATCGTTTGATCTGGTCCGTTCCAAGGTGGTGTCTTTACATTTCTTGTTGGTCAGTCTATATCCCCATAGATATATTCACTTTAACATAATATAAAACTGAGAAATGTTGATAATTAAAAAGCCTGAAAACAGCACTTGTCACATTTGCAAGGAAAGTTATTTTATTTAATAAGTAATTAACCAGATACTTGGATTGAATAATTGCTTTCAATTCTACTAAAGTTGGATTTAGCCTCCCACATTAAGAATTTTATAGAGCGAATCTGAAACACACACCTTTAGAGACACCTCATGAGTCACTTACTGAAAGGAGGACATCTTCGTTGCTAGGCAGCAGGCTAGGAGGCGCCTTACTTTGTGATTTATCGCCTGTGAGTTTTGTCTGTGATTCTAGAAAGTATCGAGACTGAAAGACTGTAACCTTTGACCTCCAGGTGACTGTAGAGAACCTCGAGGTCCACTGATTTGTTGTCTTGGTACGATGTGAGTGACAGCTGGTGGTCCTGTATGTCACATCAGAGCACATCACTGAACTTTTCTCTTTTCTTTTTCTGTCTTCCCTCATCCATTTCCTTTCCCACACTTTATCCATCCATCAATCAATTTGTCTTTTCTATCTATTTCCACTCCTCTTCATGTCTGCATTTCTTTCCATATCCTTTTCTCGCCATGTTTATTCCCCCCTACACCTTTCTTTTATTCCTCTCCAATCTAATTGTGTAGGTGTTCCAGTCAACAGTCGCGTCTCCTCCAAAATCCAGCAGCTGCTCAACACTCTGAAGAGACCAAAGCGACCGCCGCTGCGAGAGTTCTTTGTCGACGACTTTGAGGAGCTTTTGGATGGTAAGCCGGCCTGAAAGCAATTACATTGCTTCTATTAAATCAATAAATCATGAAATATAGCACCCGTCTTTCTGTGGTGTGATCGGCATACTGATCAGGACTTCAGCAGTTAAAAGCTGCATTTGATAAAAACACTCTTGAGTTAGACAGCCACATGGGCTTAAAGATGTTGTCTAATTTATTTGTAGCTGTCAGTGGTGTTTTCCTGCTTTAATAATGTAATTTATTTCTTGTTGCAGCCGAGATAAAAATATGATATTGACCAAATCACGCCTGTTAAATAAACAGTTAAGATACACTTTTAGGTCTGTGGTTGTTATTTTGTCAATGGTGAAGCAGAGACCACCAGGTGTGGTAAGGGAGTGGTTAGGTAATACAAACACACACACACTCACACACACACACACACACACACACGCACACACACACGCACACACACACACACACACACACACACATACACACACACACACACACACACACACACAAAACCCGGACAAGCCCTCTCTCACCATTTCCTCCATTCCAGCCAGCCCAAATGGGTTTTGGGTGGTACTCTGCCAGGCTGAGTAAACACTGTAAAATGAATAAGCGACAGGAATAGTAATGCATCAGCAGGTAATTGTATAGCCTTCCTGATGTTGGCACAGGAACTGTGGCATGGCAAGCCTCGGTGGTCTGCTTGATGCGAGCAGAAAAAAAGAGAGCAGAAACGTTGGTAGGCCTAACACTATCTGTACCTGATGGAGGTGTTTGCCAGCTCAGTTAAGCAGTTCTGAATTCCACTTACCAGAGCGGTAAGAGCGAGGATAGTGATGGAGAGATCAAAAGTGAGTAGGGTGCTGGCTGCATGAAGAGAGGGGAGGTAAATGATGAAGGGAGTTACGGCTTATTGAAAGGCAAAGGTTTCTCTACGTTTTTCAGGATTTGGTATCTAAGGCAGCTAAGACAGATAAGAACAGATCTCAGCTCAATTTTAATCCTCCAGCTTTCCTCTCCCATTGTTCCATGTCGCTGTCATTCAATCCCCATACTCGTTTTATTACCTTTCAAGGAATACATCACCTACAAAATAAACTCCTTTTTTGTCAGTTACTCAATTCAATTTATCTTGAATTTAGGAAGAACACTTTTACTTTTTCTTTGTAATTGACCAAAAACAGACATATACATTGAACCACCCTCACACCGATGCCCCTTTTTCTCGTTTCCATTGCAGTCCAGCAATCAGATCCCAACCAGCCGAGACCAGAAGGCCAGCACATGAGTCCCCTGGAAGGAGAGCCTCTGGAGGTGGTAAACAACTGGCCTCCCTCCTTACCAGCAGCCTTACAGCGATGGGGCACCACTCATCCCAAGAGCCCCTGTCTTACAGCACTCGACAATGCTGGCAAGCCCGTCTACACGCTCACCTATGGTAGGTATAACCTGTGAGTGATGGGCTCAGAATGTACTATATTATCCCCTGTTGACATCTGTCTGTGTGAGTTTTTATTCGCACAAATAATGGACAAGGATGCGTCTGTATCTACATACATTATTTTGTAATCATTCTCAGCTATTGTGTATGTTTTTTTGTGGGTCCCGGGGTTGTTAAATGAACTTAAATATTTGACACTGTATTCATCTGTGTAGGTAAACTATGGACCAGAAGTCAGAAGCTGGCCTACACGCTTCTCAACAAGCTGAGCACCAGAAATGAGCCTTTGCTCATGCCAGGAGACAGAGTGAGTCATGATTTAAAACTTTGCTCAATGCTGGAAGGTGGAATGTTATACTGTATATTTAATTGCAATTTAAAGCATTTGGCTGAGGCTCGTAAAATGATTTTCAGCAACTGTATTTCCTTTGAGTATTATTATTAATAATAAAAATTAGTAAATGTTGATGGCTAGTCATTAAGCCACGAACATATTATAATCTAGTCAGCCTACTTGGAATCTTTATGTTTTTGATTGCTCCCTTGCAGAAAACTGCGTGTCACTGCTCAATTTCCATTGAATGAGTTCTAATTCGTTTTTATGTCTTTACAAAAACAATACTACAACTTGATTTCTTGTGAGGGGAATCAACTGTTGATTTCACATCTTGTTAATAATTTACGCTACACACTATGCCCTTTGCCTTACATACTTTAAATGAATCACGAACTGTATGACATGGTACCATAACATATCCCGTCTGTGATGCGTCTGTAGGTTGCACTGGTTTTCCCCAACAACGACCCCGTGATGTTCATGGTGGCCTTCTACGGATGTCTCCTAGCAGAGTTGGTACCTGTGCCTATCGAAGTGCCCCTGACCAGAAAGGTAAAAGCAAATAAAATCTCCTGGGAATGTGTCAACTTAAAAAAATATGTGCTGCTCTACATAACCAGTGAAGAGCAGTAGTGACCCCTGCTGGTCATTTAGCCCTCTAAATGAGTCATTCAAAGGATATGCACAGTTGTTGCTGATTTATTCTAATATCCCAGAATATCTGTCTCTCCCCAAAAACCAAATGCCTTTTTAGTAATGAGTTGCATAATCACAACCCCAGCGGCATTACTTTTAATTGTTCTAATTACATTCTGGTGATGCATTGCAGTTTCAAACCCATCCATCAACTGAAAGTGAACCAAATCCTGCCACAGCAGTTGCACAGGCTGAATACTAATGCCTGTTCTTATTTGCCCTTTATGAGTACGCTGTTGGAAGATGCTGTGCTGTAATTAATGAGATTTGAGTGAGGTGAAATTATGTGTAATTCCAGTCAAAACATTAGATCACAGGCCAATTGTTCTCACCCCCTTCCTAGCTCACTCTGCCAACTCACATTTTTCCAACCTCACTCTTTTAATCCTTCTTTATTTGTCTGTGTTTTTTTCCCGCTCCCACTCTCTCCATCTTACATTTGTTCTTGCTTTTCTGCACAGTATGGTTTGCTCTCCCAAGTCTAGCTGTAAGCTAATTTGCACAGCCGATCAAATATGATTGAGTGTGTGTCTGATCGCCGGCTTCTTTCCCGCTACGATTGGGCTTTGATGATCCGCAGTACAGTTTTTAATAGTGATTGGCCGTCACTCTGCTTTCTAACCTGCTGCTTCTTTGATGTACCACGCTCTGAGGTTTCTTCGTTCGTTGTCCTTGTTACAATTCCCACATGGGCTCCTTTTTCTCAAAGTTGACATGTTCTGAATTGTTTCTCAATAGTTGATTGTTGTGTAACTGACACTGTTTACCAAAGTTTCAGCCAGTATGACCTTCAGTTTTTCATCTTTATTTGAATTATAGGATGCAGGAAGTCAACAGATTGGCTTTCTGTTAGGCAGCTGTGGCGTCACGTTGGCTCTGACCACTGATGCTTGTCAGAAAGGCTTGCCAAAAGCACAGACAGGGGAGGTTGCCACTTTCAAAGGTAAAATCTGATTCATCTTTTTATTTTGACACTCTGTATAGTTACATTCAGTTTGAACAGACTTTATGTCTCCCGCTCTGCAGGATGGCCTCGGTTGCTCTGGTTTGTGACGGATGGAAAACATGTTGTGAAGCCTCCTAAAGACTGGCATCCTCCAATACGGGAAGCCAGTAATGACATAGCCTACATAGAGGTAAGTGTAGTTTACTGATTCGACCAATAATGCATTGTATGCATATTTTATGTTTTTTAAGATAGTTTTAGGTACAAATCACTGATTTTAGCTGTTGGCTGTTCCCTGTTTCTAACATCCAGTATAAAACCAGCAAGGAGGGAAGCACCATGGGGATCACAGTGTCAAATGCAGCCATGCTGGCTCACTGTCACGCCCTCACACAGGCCTGCGGCTACACTGAAGGTGAGGAGGACAAAACCAATTACCTCTCAAGTACCCATACTTCCTTTCTCCCTGCGTTTTTCTCCATAATTTATTCATTCTCCTGACATGGAGAAGAGCATTACTTCAACTCGGCAAGACACAGAAAAGAAGAACAGACATCTTATCCAGATTTAGCAATGAGAAATCTGTGGCACCAAAAAAGTATTCATTTAAGGAAGTGCTATGTTTTTATTTATAACCCAGGTTAGATAACACAGAGAACATTCATAGGATAATCTATGATATTATTGTATTACAGATCCAATCAGAGGGTAACTACAGTCTAGTGTAGTTAAATAAATGCAGCTGCTCTGAGAATGTAAGGCACCTCCTCTCCTCTTGTGTCCCAGTTTTTCCTTAAATAACTGCACCAGTTTTCTGTAACTTAGTTTGGTGCTTCAACAAATCCAAAAGTGCTAAAATCAGGATTTATTCATCTTTTATTAAGCTTGTTTGTTTGTTTGTGTAAAGTAATGGAATCATGTGTGATTGCACTAGGGAAAAGAAAATGAATGTCAGATGAAATGTCTCAAACGCTAATATTGGCAAAATCTCCTTTGTGATTTGCAGCCGAGACCATAACCAACGTCCTGGACTTCAAGAGAGAAGGAGGATTATGGCATGGTGTTCTTACTGTGAGTGGTTTTAAGGGTTAAATCATCGGAAATATACATCCATGCTCAGATTGCTGATATAAAAATTGGATTTATCTCACTGACATTTTTCTTATAAACATTAAAACTAATAACTTCCTGATGAGAAAAGTTTTGTCCCATAACAAAAGAGTTTGAAACCTTTAAAAATGCTCATGCATACTCAATTCAGCCCTGGTTTCAAACATGCAGTGGAATCTTATTACATGTATCTTATGAATGAATTACATTAATCATGTGATAAAGTTAACTTCTGACATATTTTGATTATTATGCGATGCTTGTCTGTTTTCATGGCAGAGTGTCATGAATCGGATGCACGTGATCAGCATTCCTTACTCCCTGATGAAAGTCAACCCGCTCTCCTGGATACAGAAGGTCCACATATACAAAGGTGAGGGTCCATACTCGTTGACATTTGTCACTTTTCACCTTTCCTGCTGCATCTTAGCCCTATAAACAGGGATTTAATATAGGATAAACTATTACCTAATTTTATCTAATTGTAGGGTAAAGCCATGTATGTGTTGCTATTCAGTAGAGAACGTTCTGCCACCTATTGTAGTGCATTGTATCTTACTTAGTACATATATCCTTACAGGTTTTTTATGAGAAATGTCAGAGAAAAACTCTTTGGTAGCTGGCAGTTTACCCATCATTAAGTTAATGTTAGTATCTGTGTGAGATTAAAGCTGGCATCCATAAAGAGCTTATTTCTCCTAACAGTATTCATTTGCAAAAGGCATTTGACAGTGGAGGATAGATGGAAGCAGCAGTTTGTTAGACTCATTGATTGTATTAGCCCAGTGGAGGTCGAGTACAGGAGGCTGCGTTGAATAAAATACACCTACTTTCTAGTCCAAGCTTCGCTGAGTCACCTGTTGGCAACCGAGTCAATCCACTCTGCTATTTGCTGTCAGATGTTGTGATCTGTGATTGGCTCTCAAGCTTGTTGACAGACATTTTGATTGGATGACTCTATTGTGAACCTTTGTCTTTGTGTCCCCTTGCACAGCAAGGGTTGCAGTGGTGAAGTCGAGGGACATGCACTGGTCTCTGCTGGCCCAGAGAGATCAGAGAGACATCAGCCTGAGCTCGCTGCGCATGCTAATCGTAGCTGACGGAGCTAACCCATGTGAGTCCATCTGCAGGTTCTCATTTATAAAATACCTCTATAAACAGCCTGAAGCCATACAAGATTATCACTGATTTGTTGGTGTGTGTTTGCCTGTATATCTGTGTGACTGGCTCTGAATATCTATGTGTCTGTTTGTCTGTGTGTGTGTGTGTGTGTTTGATTGCCATCACAGGGTCTATCTCCTCCTGCGACGCCTTCCTCAACGTGTTTCAGGCACGTGGGCTGCGACCTGAGGTGATCTGTCCATGTGCCAGCTCTTCAGAAGCCATGACTGTCGCCATCCGCAGGTGAGCTGCTATTACTGCACTGTATAAGAAAAGGAAACCCACCACCACTTACTGTCTTACCGTGTTATACAATCACACCACAGTATGAGATTAGCTGGATACTCCAAGCAAAGGAGCAAGATTTGTACTGCCTGTAAGGATAGGATGTCGGAAAAATGTATAAACATATTGTTAAAAAAAAAAAAAAAGGATAGGATGTCTCAGCTCTTGGCTGATCAGGATGAGAGCTTGACTTAAAAAACATGCTTCAAAAAGGTTATGTATATGAAAGAGAGCCTTTTTGATTATTTGAGAGTGTCTAACAGTTTTACATAGTGGTCATATTCTACCTACTCTTTTTAAGGTCTCAGTACTTCTGCAATAGAGACAAAGTACTAAGGCAGAGCTGTATTTCATGAACTAAGATAGAACTGGCATGATATGTTTTGTTTGACATGATCAGGAAATGAAGAGCAATACGTTACAGATCTCTTTAATTCCATATCCTCCTATGTGTGTCACTGTGTTCAGTAATAAGGAGTGTGACCGTGATTTTGTCTACTCTCTGCAGACCTCCAGAAATGGGTGTTCCTCCTCCAGGAAAGGCGGTGCTGTCTATGGGGGGGCTGAGCCACAGTGTGATCCGTGTGGACACAGAGGAGAAGCTCTCTGTCCTCACAGTGCAGGATGTGGGACAGGTCATGCCTGGAGGTATGATACACTGCGCTGCTTATTAACATTTTCGTGCCGTTGCCGAGGAAGATTCTGAAGATGAAAAGATCATTTTGTATTCACATCACTGTGTGTCCCCGGAGAATGGAGGCAATCAGATAAGACGTATTAGGATATTAAAAGAAAAAAGACACAGAAGGGTTCTCACTTCCACTATGTAAATGTTGACATTTAAATTATTAAATGATCTTGTTTGATGGTTTCTTCTGCATCTGTTGGTATGTACCAGCTGATGTGGTGTTTATGTAAAAACATGAGGCAAATGCTTATTGTTTATAATATAATACAACATTAAAACAGTATTAAAGAACGTCTCTGACCATAATAAAGCAATTATTTCAAATAATTAAAAATAATTATTTGCTGAAATGAACTTACCTAATGATTAACTTAACTAAATAACGTTTTCCCAGAGGTTAAGAATTAAGCTATCGAAATAAGAATCTACAGTATGTACCAATTTAGACATCTACTTTAAATGATATCTATTGCTCCTAATGTCCCACCCTGTCATCATTCCCTGTCTCCAGCTCTGGTGTGTGTGGTGCGGGTGGAGGGGACGCCCTATCTCTGTCAGACTGATGAGGTGGGAGAGATCTGCATGAGCTCCGGCTGCACGGGCGTAGCTTACTACGGCCTGCCGGGCATGACCAAGAACATCTTTGAGGTTAGTGTCCTATTTATGGAACTGTTCAAATATACCCACAGTGCAAATGCTTACATGTACTTCCTCCTTCTACATTTTTTGTACTTCATGCGCGGATATGTTTGAACTGTGTTGTTTATTTTTACAGACCATCCCAGTTACATCGTCTGGGATTCCCATCAGCGACAGACCCTTTACCAGAACGTCACTGCTGGGCTTTGTGGGGCCGGTTAGTATGATTTATTTTTGGCAGCAAATGCTACTTACGGATTGGTCTGCCTATTACTTAATTAGAATTAATTTATTATACATCCCCATCATGAATCAGGTAAAGGGTTAGTTCACTCAAATCACAAAAACTAACCTTAAGAAGTATCTAGCAGTGTATATGGTTTGAGATGGATATGTTCCATGTTTGGAATCTGAGGCTTCTGCTCGAACCACAGTGAAATCAATGAAAATGGAATTCAATTTGAGCCAGTAAATGTCTTTGAAATCTAAAGTACGGTGTGTCTTTCCATAGACACTTCCCCAGTTTGTCATGGATAATTTACATATATTGTCTATATGTTTTACTTAGGAACCTTTAGTTGTTAGTTTAGATGAAGAATTGTCAGGTTTTTTTACCGTTAGCAAAGTACATACTTCATTCAGCTGGCACAGAATAAGATCTTTCACAAATGTAATTCATCCATGTCTAGACAACAGTAAGTCATATCAAAAGATTGGGTGTACAATAGGCTGATAATAACACAAATGGTGAAGTTGTATTTGTTTTTTTCCCTTTAAGCAATTCTGAAGTCACTGGATGATTACACACTGTACTTTAGATCAAGGTAAATAATCAAGATCCCCATATAAATGCTATGTCTTTTGCGTTTCCCACCAGGACAGCCTTGTGTTTATTGTGGGGAAGATGGATGGGCTGATGGTGGTCAGTGGGCGGAGACACAATGCAGATGATGTGGTGGCCACAGCCCTGGCAGTGGAGCCCATGAAGTTTGTGTACAGGGGAAGGTAAAAGAGGCAGCAAACTCTACATTTGCCTACAGATGTGTCTTCTATCTAAAGACAGCTGTAATAGTGTTCTTTTCTATGCTTTCTGCTCCAGGATAGCAGTGTTCTCTGTATCCGTGCTGCATGACGAGAGGATCGTTGTTGTCGCGGAGCAGCGGCCGGACGCCTCTGAAGAAGACAGCTTCCAGTGGATGAGCCGAGTCCTTCAGGTGCCCACTCTGCTCTTTTTGACCTCTTATTATCAGATAGACACAGATTACTGAAGGACTATACCTGTGGCTTCACATGTTTTACTTGAATAAAAGCAAATCAGGTCTACTTAGTTAATATTACTCCTTACTTAGTGGTTTTACAGCATGTTACAAGGTTTACATTTTCTTCCTTCAAGTATATCATATTTTGTTTTTAAGACTAATATATAAATAAATGACAGATCCTTGAGATAATGCGTAACAGTGAATACATTTTGAATATCGTAAAAATGGTGGTCAAGGCTGCTATTGATTTGCAACATAAAGATACAAAAACAGTATATCCTTAATGCAAGCTTCGGAAAATTGGCATTAAAAATGTAAAGTGGTCTTAGTTGATGTGGGCGAAAACTACACGTCCAATGTTATGGTCACTTTATGTCACAGTCGTAGGTTTATTTTCTAATCCACACAAGCATATAAAATAAAATGGTATAGAATCAGCTGCAATGACCAATTCAATGTGTACAGTACACAAACAAGAAATTGAAATAGATATACGGTTAAAAACAGGGACAACAAAGCTGAAAAAAACATTTGACTACTATGTACAGATATACAGAGAAAATCTATAATATAAAAACAAGAATAACATCCCCTAAGGTGTTCACTGAAACTAAAACTTGACTTTTCGTATATTTCCTGTCTGTTTCCAGGCCATAGACAGCATCCACCAGGTGGGGGTGTACTGCCTAGCTCTGGTGCCGGCCAACACGCTTCCCAAGGCTCCGCTGGGTGGCATCCACATATCTGAGACCAAACAGCGCTTCCTGGAGGGCGCCTTGCACCCCTGCAACGTCCTCATGTGCCCTCACACATGTGTCACCAACCTGCCCAAGCCAAGACAAAAACAGCCAGGTAGATTTTCCAGCCTGCATCTCGTTTAGAAGCAAATATAGATTAATTTACATTTCTTGGTGTTTTTATGTATGTCCTATTGAATGTAAGAGCTGACCTCCCTGAATGTGTTGTGTTGGACAGAGGTCGGTCCTGCTTCTATGATAGTGGGTAACCTGGTGGCAGGCAAGAGGATAGCACAGGCCTGTGGGAGAGACGTGGGCCAACTGGAGGACAATGACCAGGCACGTAAGGTAGTCATCCTCATTTCATCCTCTCATCACCTGCACACATACAGTACACAGGTAAGCATCCATACAGGAGGGCGAGGAATCAGAAACACAAACAGCTGATGGAGAGGACTTCCCGCTGCTGGAGCTATCTGATAAAACAACTGTAGCATCATTTAGATTTCCCTTCCAGCATGTATTACATCCATTACTCTTCCTTATCATAAAATACTGTAGCCCATCACATCTGTCATCCTTTCATTACAAAAACCCACACTGTGCCACCATGCTCCATTAATTCTACATTGTTTGTGCAGAGATTCATCATAGACTCAGTTTCTGTCTGTCAGTGTTCTGTCTCATTTCTCTGGAGTTAAACTGTTGTGTCTCTCTCCCCTTTAGTTCCTGTACATACAGGACGTGCTGCAATGGAGAGCTCAGGCCACTCCAGACCATCCTCTGTTCCTTGTTCTCAATGCTAAGGTACTGCCCTTTTCATCATGTATATAAAACGTAGTTTTACCATCGCAATTGTATTGTTTTACTGTTCATTTCTTGTAAATACACTTAGAAACTGTTAATAGATAAAACATTATAATGTATGTTTTGGCGGATTCAGTCTTTTTAATGACTGAATCATGGCACTTTATTGCAGTGATGTCATTTAAAAAAAAAATAATGATAATATTTATTAATAATAATAAAAATAATAATAATAATACATGGGATTTGTATAGCGCTTTTCCTAATGCTCAAAGACGCTTTACATCAAATCAGAACAGAAACAATACAAAGAAAACAAAAAAACATAAACAGTAGTCCTAATCCAAGTGCGGAGTAAAATGGGAGGGGCTTGTTGATCAGAGTTTGAAAGCTAGAGTGAATAATTAATTAAGTCTAACATATTGATTTGCATCACGGGCAGAAGAAAACTTTTTTTTCAAACTAAAAATCTTGTGAAAATCTCTGCTTGTTGATTCATCATCTTGAGAATTACAACTTTAATATCTGTTAATTGAGTGTGTGAAATGCATGTTTCTTGTGTTCTCTTCAGGGCACGGTGGCGAGCACAGCGACCTGTCTGCAGCTGCACAAGCGGGCAGAGCGGGTGGCCACAGCGCTGATGGGACGCCTCAACACTGGAGATCATGTAGCACTCGTCTACCCCCCAGGTAAGAGCTGCTACTGCTACTATGCTGCTTTTCCTTTGAGTACTGTTCTTAAGCTGGGCCCTGTCTTTTCTTCACTGTTTGAGTCTGTCTATGAATCAAAACCACAACAGAAAAGACTCAATAAAGTTCTCAGTATAATTGTAAAGCTTTGATCAACTACTAGGTATAACATTTGGAAATCCGTTTTAACAAAGTATTAACATTTTTGTGCAGGAATCGACTTGATTGCCACTTTCTACGGCTGCCTGTACGCCGGCTGTGTGCCAGTCACTGTCAGACCCCCCCACCCCCAGAACCTGGCGACCACCCTGCCCACCGTCAAGATGATTGTTGAGGTAACAGAGAGTCGTTCGACCTGTATCAAAATGCTTACTTAATCCATTACAAGTCATTTTATCCAAAGCAACTTACATACACTTTGTTACCATATGGCCATAGGCGGCGCGTGAGGCTCAGGTTTGGGAAGGCTAAATCACTTTTTTTACCTGACGCTGCCCGCCTCCGGCGTCTATAGAAAAGAGATCAACTCAGTGAAAGCACCGCCTGCTGACCAATCAGAGCTCAGTGTGCGGAGTTTAAATCTATCAAGTCATATTACAGGATAAAGGAAATACAGTTTAAACTGCTATATGCAGAGAAGACGCCGACGTGTCGCACTTATCATTCATATCACATCATCAATCAGATCATCGATCATATAATATCATAATATATCATATATTTCCTTATCTGAGTCAGCTTCTTGAGCCGTATCTGGCCGTGCAACACTTACATTGTCACATACTGTATGCAGAAGTATTATTTTAAGAAACACATTAAGTTGACGAAACACTCAACTCCATTGTAATTAAAGTCAGATCCACTCGTGTCTTAGATGGGGCAGTGATATCATAAAACTGTTGTACGCTTTCAAACACTCTGTAGTTTATTTATTTTTTAGTGGGAATGCTGATACAGCATTCCAACTATATGTTATTCTATGGACAAAATTATTATTATTCTGCCGGAATTTTGCACCTTTTCTCCTCCTGCATTCAACATCGGAGAAACTCCGTTCAAACATCAAAACGTTCAGCTCGGTCGAGAATCGATGGCTATTACTTGTATTATTCATAACTTTCATAATTCCAGAGATACATCCCATAATACATCACATTTTTAACCATTGAAGTCAATGGAGAAAATCTTCAGACTTGAACAATCTTCATGCGACTTCAACTGCTAACTGTTCATTCATACTTTCACTCAGAAACCTCATTCCAACTTTAAAATGTTACACATCTTTCTGACATTATTCGTGTAACACAACTTTTAAATCTGATTCTTACTTTTAGAGATATTAAACATTGTTCAGACCTTGGCAAAGAGGCTTTCTTCAGATTTTAACATTAACTAGAGTGCGTGATGTCACAGCTAGAGGGTAGGAAATCTTGAAATTTGCCTTCATATTTCTTTTTTAAACTGCTATAATTCCCAAACCTTACATTCCTGAGTCATAATTTTTCATGACAAACGTAGGAAAACATCTCGTAGCTTGAAAAATGACAAATAATTAAGCAAAAATAATTAAACAAAATGCCTCTTGAGGGCATGAAGTGACAAAAACTTTCAACATGTCTCCATTAAAACCCATTGTAATTGCAGGCTGATATTTCCTCACAGCAGCAGCCGCACACCTTTAGTTAAACTGCCAAAAAGGCCACATTATCAACCCGAAAGTACACAAAGATTACACTTCAGATACTCAACTTCCTTGACATGCTTCACGTTTTGAAATTTCACAGATATCTGTTATGGTTCTTCCACAAAACGTTCACATGTAAGAGGTTTATCTCTCATTCAGAACAATGCAAACCTTTGATCTCTACAGAGCTCGTTAGCTCAACTATAAACACCTGTGTAAGTAACACCTGTAAATCCAATGGACACGGTCCAATCGTCCCCCAATCTTCACTTGTATATCACCGGTCCATGCCTCAACAGTTCTACGCCAAATTTGAAATCTCACCATATGCCGTTTCCATCCCTCGCCATAAAAAAAAAGGTGTCCCTTTAACTCCTATGAAAATGTTCAAAAAGTGCTCAAAATTCACATGTGTGCTAACAGTCCAGCCGTGAAGACATCTACGAGACAGTTTTGAGATTTCTTCAAATGCCGTTGCCATGGCAACACAATGCTCGCCATGAAACACGGTTTTCTCATAACTTCAGTGAAAATGCTTCAAACGGCCCAAAACATCACAGGTTTGGTAACGATGCAGCCATCAACGCATCTAAGCGTATTATGGGGTGTCATCAAATGCCGTTGCCATGGTGACAGACCACTCGCCATGAAGCACGATGTCGCTGTAAGTCCAATGGAAACGGTCCGATCGTCCCCCAAACTTCGCTTGTATATCACAGGTCCAGCCCTCAACAGCTCTACATCAATTATGGGGTTTCTTCAAATGCCGTTGACATGGCAACACAATGCTCGCCATGAAACACGGTTTTCTCATAACTTCAGTGAAAATGTTCCAAACGGCCCAAAACTTCACAGGTTTGGTAACGATGCAGCCATCAACGCATCTAAGTGTATTATGGGGTGTCATCAAATGCCGTTGCCATGGCGACAGATCATTCGCCATCAAGTTAGTTCAAAAGTTTGCAGTTCAAATATTCTGCTGCTTTTCCAAGCCTTTTTACTTTATTTTCTTCACTCATCACACATTCAAGCCCCCAGTGTTCATGTATCATTTCAATCTAAATTCTTCACTTTCTTCTTACACATTACATTTCAGCATAGCAGTTTAGCGTCAGCTTTTCAGCATAAAGCATTCCCACTAGCAATTTCTTCAGGAATTGCATTCTCTAGTTTAACCAGTTGTTCGATATTCACCTTGCAGGTGACACTATGTGGCTTTTTATCCTGGATTATATGTTTAAATCATGGATGTTTAAAGTTCATGTTTGTCTAATATTAGTTTACTTTTCATTAATGAAGTATGACGCTGCGCTGTCAGTACACTTGTCCATGTTTGTGATTGGTCAAATGTAGCTAACCCCGCCCCTTTCACGTGAACGCGCTCTCAGCTGGAGAGAGAATTCCTGGCTTGATTTACCGAGTTGATAACCAGCGTCGTAGGACCGCTTAGCGAGATCTCGTTTGTTAGGGTTAGTTAAGATAACTCAAACATATGCAGGGTATGTTGAACTGGCTTCGTAGTACAGGGCACAGGTGGCTGCATAGCAGCGCTAATGTCAAAGACACAAACATTATACATTATATTTTTATTTTACCAGGATGCAGTAACACAAATATTTGGGAAGGCTTAGCCTTCCCTAGCCTACAGTACCCGCCGCCCCTGCATATGGCCATGCCTACAGGAGCAATTTGGGGTTAAGCATCTTGCACAAGGAAACCTCTACTTGTTGACTGCAGGATCAAATACTGTACCTCTGCATAGTTATTACAATCATTAAACCTGTTGAATGTATGGCTATTGAAACATGAAATAAACTGAATTATATACAAAGTCAGCCCTGCTCCATTTTGGGGCTTAAATGATGTGAATAAGTTAATATATACAAGTAGTAATACTGTTGTATCTCTGTGTTAAAGGTCAGTAAGTCGGTGTGTATCCTAACCAGTCAAGCAATTATGAAGCTGCTGAAATCCAAAGAGGCTGCGGCTGCCGTGGACATCAAGAGCTGGCCCATGGTGTTGGACACAGGTGAATTATTCATACATACACAACACAATTTATCTGCTCATGTTGCCACCAGAGTGTAGATATTTTATATGAAAAAAATGTTCTGTGATTTCAGTATTCTCTTTTAAAAACATTTCACCTCTCCTTCTGTTCATCCTCCAGATGATCTGCCCAGGAAGAAGACTCCCCAGATGTACAAGCCCCCGACCCCAGAGATGTTGGCCTACCTGGACTTCAGTGTGTCAACAACAGGCATCTTAGCAGGGGTCAAAGTATGTTACATTTGGAAAGACTCGCTTGAGCAATCTGGATTTAGTTTTTAAATGGGGTTGTGTGAGAGACTTATCCAAAATGAGTGTTTTCACTGCAGTAGATGAAGGTCGGCACAACCCCAGTTTAAAGTAACAGACTCAAGTACCAGCACTGCATATAAAATACACTGCAAAAACAGCCCTTCCAAAAACAAGCAAAAATATTCTTGAATCAAGTCAGATGTTCCTGTATCAAGCAAACAAATCTGCCAATGGGGTGAGCCAAATTAGCTTGGCTAGAATTCTTAAAACTAGAATTAAAATCTAGCTACTGAAAGACCGTAATGGGCCTTGAAACTAGACAAAAATGAAAAATGTAAGCACATTTTGCTTATTACAAGCAATAATTCCTGCATTATTTAAGAAAGAATAACTTAAAATGAGTGTTTTGGTTGAGTTGACTAAGAATGTATTTCTTAAATTAAGATTTATAATTTGCAAAGAAAGCTTACAATAAGAATCATTGGCTTTAATTGACACAATATATTAGTGACTTTGTCTTAAACTTAGAATGTAAATCTTAAATTAAGTTTAAAAATCAGCAAATAAAGCTTACAATAAGAATTAAATTCTTAAATTGGCATAATATATAAGTGCATTTGTCTTAAATTAAGACAGCAGAAACATTCTTATTTTTGGTGTGTGTGTTGTGTATACCACACCACAGTTACATTACATTACATGTTACTTGTTAGACGCTTTTATCTATCCACTGCGCCACACGCCTCCAGTTGTCTCAATGGCAATGTGAATAGTGAATAGACAGCTCTCGACAATGAATAAATATATATGAAATGTAAAATTGGTGTCATTTCATCAGATTCTTAAATTGAGAAGTTGTTTGATGGTTTATTTCTTAAAATTTAAATTTAAATTTAATAAGAAAAAGTAAGATATATTTCCTCAAAGTAAGAATACTTTTCTTAAGCAAAACATTCTTAACAAGGTTATTTGACTTTTTAGACGAAAAAATAAGAATTGTTTCCCAGAAACAAGTTTGTTTTACTTTCTTAAAATTCATTTTTTGCAGTGTAGAAGGTGGACTAAATACAATACATCTTCATTGATTTGCAGACATTAGGTCACATGAGATTGATTTATTGAAAATAAATTAAACTTTTCAATAAAAAAACTGCAGAATTTTCATAAAAACATTCATATAAAATTTTAAAAAGCCTCTAAAATCCAATCAAAAAAGGGATGTGTGTTTTTGGCCCAGTGTAGTTATAATATCTGGTATGAATCAACACATCAGAAATAAAAAGGTGCAACACTTGTATAATTATTTTTTTGGCCTAACTTTCAGTAATATGAGCAAGTGAGCATGGAGGTATTGAAAATGGCATTGTTTTTGAGTCATTTAAACTGTAATCGATAGTCCCTGAGTGAAAGTGAGCTAACTGTCATCTGACTGCCAACTCTCTGTGAAAATGAGTAAGGAAACCTGAGCGAATGTGGTTCCTTTTTTCAACTTGAACCACCTAACTTGGAACTAAAACAGTCAATTCCTACCTAAAAAGTTCATGCATCAAGCAACCATCCACACACTGCTCAGGTGTCCGTCAGTAAAATGATGGATCCCTCGAAGCTCAAGTGGTTGTATTTAAGATAAATTGTACTCAATTATTCATTTTTGATGCTTCATTGGTGTCTCTTTGTGTCACATCATCTCCTCCAGATGTCTCACGCTGCCACCAGTGCCTTGTGTCGCTCCATCAAACTGCAGTGTGAGCTCTACCCCTCGCGGCAGATCGCCATCTGTCTGGACCCGTACTGCGGCCTGGGCTTCGCTCTCTGGTGCCTGTGCAGGTAAAATAGCAGCTATAAACAAATCACAGAATGCCTTTTTTGTCTCTGTCGCCTTACTCATTCCTCTGTCTGCACGTATGTTTCTGGTTTCAGCGTGTACTCGGGCCACCAGTCGATCCTGGTTCCTCCTCTGGAGCTGGAAAGCAACGCGTCTCTGTGGCTGGCCGCAGTCAGCCAGTACAAAGTGCGCGTCACCTTCTGCTCATATTCAGTCATGGAGATGTGCACCAAGGGCCTGGGCTCACAGACAGAAGCACTGCGGGTCAGTTTGTCTCTTCAGGTGTTGAGTTGTGTCCATTTTGAAGGGTTTTCTTTCACTATTCCCCCTCCTGGTGGTGCTGATGCCTGCAGCACTTGTGACTGGGATACTTTTACTAAGCATGTCTGTGCTGTAATGAGTAGAAGCTGTCTGATCAAAAAGTTATAGATAGATATTTTATTCATCCCAAATCGGTAAATGAATTTATCACAGCAGCAATGTTGTCAAGCATTACACAAGTTAAACATATTAAAAAGATACAATATATATATGTGTGTCTGTTTAAGTAGATACATGTGTACATGTGTAGATATTTGGCATTTCACCCTATGTACTCTTTTGTTTTAATTTAATTTGACTAATTTTGTTCTGTATTTAATTTGTCAGGTCTCTAAAGAGATATGATTAGCAAAACTGTACTTTTAATACAATGTGACACCAAATAAAGAATAAAAAAGATACAATAAGATACAAATATAGTAACAATAAAAATGTATATTCGGAGCAAGTATATATCATTTCACAATAGTAGGGACATATATCACTGGAGTATCAAAATAATACACAATATGAAGAAATATTGAATAGATTGAATACTCTACATACAATATACACTCTCAATAAGCTACAGAAATATACTACAGACACATATTGGCTAACCCTAATCCTATTTTACACAATGTATACTTAATTATTATTACCTTTTTGATTTTAATGACCCAACTTGTATTTCTTCCCTCTCCAGTTGAGAAACGTGAACCTGTCGTGTGTGCGAACGTGCATGGTGGTCGCAGAGGAGCGGCCCCGCATCGCGCTCACTCAGTCCTTCTCCAAGATCTTCAAGGACTTGGGGCTCTCGCCACGCGCCGTCAGCACCACCTTCGGCTGCAGGGTGAACGTGGCCATCTGTCTGCAGGTAAGCAGCTGGAGGAGGATGATGAGGGGGAGGAAGAGAGAGGTCCAGAGTCTGTGGCGGTCAATGTTTACGTCTGTCCATCGTTTTTTTCCTCCTGTAGCACTTTGATGTCCTTTTCTATTTGTTTCTCCCTATCCCTGTGATTTTGTTCATGTGTGTGTGCATGTGTATCCACTTATATAAGTACATATATAAATATCTGTATCTGTCCTGCCCTGTCAGTCCAACAGGTTAGGGAAACTGGCTGAGCAGGTAACCGGATGGATAAGAGTTGCTTTTTGCTCTGTGGTCTGCAGCTGTGTGTGCGTTTGTTTTTCTTGCATGGTTTTTAAAGATGCCTCCAAACATTTTCTCTTGGTTTTCTTTTTCCTGATGAGCTACGGTTGAACTTTACCGCTATTCATTTTGACCGAGTCTTACCAGCTGGCTCTGAACCAAACCATTGCTTTATGAGCAGGATATTTGTATTGTGCTTACATTATACCATGAGTGCACAGCATGAACTCTGCCATGATAAAATTCATTTACAAGTGCCATTCACACAGCATTACAAGAAGAAAAGATGAATTATTTTTAAAAAATCCCCCTATTTTTGACAAACCCAATATTTCAACTTAGTTAGTTTAATTAAAATACAATTTTCTTTTTTTTAATATAATGAATAAAGTATTGTTTTGGTGCCTTTTCTTTCACACAAGAAGATATTCAGTGAATGAAGTCACTTATTTGTTTTAATGAAAGAACACGCCTCATTATTTTTATTGGAAGAGCTAACCTGTTGATCAGGTTCATAAAAAGAATGTCTGACAGAAGTTATGAACGCACTCTTAAGTGTTTTGGTTTCTCAGTCTGCTGGTTTGGGATTCATGGAAATCTCTGGATGAGTCTCATTGTCTCTGTGTCTGTCCTTGACCTCTGGGACAACTACACAATAGAGTGATGGAACCCATAATGCATTGTGACTCGTCCTACAGCAGCAATAATGAAACATTTTAAGCAGAAAGAATCAATATCTGACAACCACAATCAGTACTGAAAAATGAGGTGGATGGCAGATCTATAGACATTTAATCAAAACAAATGTTGCTCATTTAGAAATCTTCAGACATTGGAGTGCCTTTTTTGTTACAGCAGATAAACATTTGAAATAAATAAATGACCTACTTTTAGGCTTCTAATGTAGCACAGTAGATTCTCAAAAACATCTTACACGTGCAAAAAAACAAAGCCGCATAAGAGAAGATTAATTTAAATATTCGAGTACTCACACTGTCTGTGGCTACATGGTTGAGTTTGATCAACTTCCTAACTGTCGTAGCCTGGCTGGTCGGCTTCTGGCTGCAACCCCCCCCCACCCTGCTTTGTCAACAGTTGTGTCCTAAGCAGCCTCCACCTCCCCTCCACTCAGGCTACATACAGCAATAATGTCAGGCTTTTAAGAGTTACATTGATGTCTCACTCTGCTTGCTTTCCTCCAGGGCACAGCGGGACCTGACCCCACCACTGTTTACGTGGACATGAGAGCGCTACGTCACGACAGGTAGGGGGCGCCGCTGCAGCTTTAATAACAGGAGTTTTCTTTGAGATATAAACGTGGACATGTGTTAAGTCAGTCTAATGTGTGGTGTTATTATAATTCTGGTACACATTTTTATTGCAAATGAATACATTATTCAATCTTGAACTGATTAGTTTTCGCTGTTTTTCCTGCTTTTTTCACATTTGGGGAATAGAATAATAAAAAAGAGATATGAACTTGCTCATTTGGTATATTTATCCTTCAGGGTCCGCCTGGTAGAGAGAGGGTCTCCACACAGCCTGCCACTGATGGAGTCTGGGAAGGTACTTGATATACACATTTATATATTTCGAATATATCTTGTTGTATTCTATATGTATGCTCCTTGTCGATGCAGATTTCTACATACACCAGATTCTTGAAATGCACTAAAACACTACAGGTAACTGTGTGCTGCAACATGTTTTCTAAATCTTTGATATATCTCTGTCTGCTGTTCTAGATCCTTCCAGGAGTGAAGGTGATCATTGCCAACACAGAGACTAAAGGACCCTTGGGAGACTCCCACCTAGGAGAGGTAAGTCACAAAGTCACCTGAGTGTTTCACCCTCATCTGTTCCACATGCATTATAAGTTACAGTGCGCTTACTGCAGAGAACTGATCTCTTAAACGTCATATCAACGAAAACACATTTCTATAATAACGGTAAGAGATTATAACAACCTTGTTTTACAAGCTAGATTTCTCAAGGAGAGTTTTAGTGAATGAAGACAACTTTAGACAGGGTAACAAGATGATAGAACAGGTGCCATCCTTTTAAATAAATAAATACATCTTCCTTTTTAAACAGCAGATTGAAGTTTAACTGGATCTTGCACAGAGTTGCATTGAGAGGTCTAAAGACAGTTTCCAACACAATAAAAGAACTAAGAAAAGCCGTGCTCTCACTTCAAAGCCTGTCCTTACACCAGACCTCCACAGCAGATGTATACAATCATGTGTGTAACCTCTCTTCATGTGTGTGTGTGTGTGTGTGTGTGTATCAGGTGTGGGTGAGCAGTCCTCACAATGCCACAGGATACTACACAGTTTACGGGGAGGAGGCGCTGCACGCCGACCACTTCAACACCAAGCTGAGCTTCGGAGACACCCAGACGGTGTGGGCGAGGACGGGCTACCTCGGCTTCCTGCGGCGCACCGAGCTGACAGACGCCAGTGGAGGTGAGGATAACAAACGCTCACTGCGTGTGACAAGTTACATTCATATACGTTTAGGTTAAATACATAAATGCAGTCTGTGTATTTGTTTTCAGTAAGTAATAAGAGATTTTATTACGTTAATTAATTATTAATTATTTTTTAGAAGTCAGTTGAAGATAATTTGATGAAATTGGGGTAATATAAGCATGATATTAAAACAAAAAAGACAACACTTGTGTATAAACTTTTAATGTCACTTTAAGAGAAAAAGGGCTCTTGTTTTTAATTAAATAAATAAAAATGCCTTTCAGTAGAACAGTTTGCTGATTAGAGCAGCTTAACTTTGAATACTTTTCTATGAAAATACAAAAAAACTGTAAAACAAAATACTTTGTTTTATTATTTGTACATCGGAGTTATAAAATGAATGCAGACGTTGAGCTTTAACACATTTTAACTTGGTACATTGTGTGTGTGTGTGTGTGTGTGTGTGTGTGTGTGTGTGTGTGTGTGTGTGTGTGTGTGTGTGTGTGTGTGTGTGTGTGTGTGTGTGTGTGTGTGTGTGTGTGTGTGTCTCAGAGCGCCACGACGCCCTCTATGTGGTGGGCTCTCTGGATGAGACCCTGGAGCTGAGGGGAATGAGGTATCACCCAATCGACATCGAGACCTCCGTTATCCGTTCTCACAAGAGCATAGCTGAGTGGTGAGACATTTTCATCACTCCTTCATCACTAATCATATCAAATTATGCATTATGTAGTAAGACATTTATCCAGTTAATACGCAACATAAATTCTGACTTATCTGCCTCTATCCTGTTCTTTCTTTCCCTTTTGCTCTCTTTCCATTTTTCTTTTTGTCTCGCTTTCTCCCAGTGCGGTGTTCACTTGGACCAACCTCCTGGTGGTGGTAGTGGAGCTGGAGGGGTCCGAGCAGGAGGCCCTGGACCTGGTTGCCCTGGTCACCAACGTAGTCCTGGAGGAGCACTACCTCATCGTGGGAGTGGTGGTGGTGGTCGACCCCGGCGTCATCCCCATCAACTCCAGAGGGGAGAAGCAGCGCATGCACCTCAGAGACGGGTTCCTGGCCGACCAGCTGGACCCCATATATGTGGCTTACAACATGTGAGGGTCCCCTCCTCCTCCACGTGGCTCATCACACAACGGGAGTCGGTGTGGCTTCTGTTGAAAGAAAGCGTGCTCCTCTTTCAGCTCGCAGACAGGGAAACATGAAAGAAAACGTGGATGCAAAATGGAGAGAAATCCCAAGAGAAATTAGATCAACACAAACCTCATGTCAGTTTCTCCCTGCGATTTCTCGCCTCAACAAATAATGTTTTAAAGAGGTTTTGTTGAAAAGAGTTTTGAGTATGACAGAGTGTCCGTGTCCTTAAACCCGGGACACATGATAGCAGCAAGTATAACACTACACAGTTCCATTAACTTCATCTACTGTCCGTTTCTATATTTTCATTATTTGTTGTGTTTGCCACACACTAGTGCCATAGACTGACACCATGTTAAGTGTTCGCAGAGCCATTGCCGGTCATATATGATTTTTATAGAAGAAAATCCATCTTACGTACATTGTCGTCTGCCTGAAGTCAACCCGGATTTTTGTGTTCCTGCTCATTTCACATCATGTTGTTAGTATTGCAGAGACGCACACAGCAGTTATTGCTTCCATCATTTCAGCATCATTCTTTTTAATTTGTGGTGTCAGTAACAGGATGTTTAGAAATACTATGTGGTTGACGCAATGTTGTCCTTTTCTAAATCAAAAAAGTGTAATATAGTTATTGTTTTATCTAAACAAAATGCAATATGAGTGACGTGAAAGACTTTGAATGACTGCAGACAGTAAGTGCCCAGCCTTCGGAGTCGTGAGATGGCGAGGAATATAATCGTTGCTTTCCATTAGCAACCTGCCAAATAATATGAATGAAGCCTTAAGTGAATTTTCTGACTCTTTCCTATCCCAGCTTAACTTAATTTTGTGAAGTTTATCAGCTGTATGATAGGGAGGGGGATATGCAGAGGGAGGTAAGGTATGGTAAATCCTATTGCACCCAAAGTCTTTCATCTTTCTGGTTAATATGAATATACTTTATCGTAGCATCAGCCACAACAAACACACACTCCATACATATTTTAAAAGTGTCTGTCCCTATTGTCAGTTGTGTTGAATGTGTGTTTTAAAGCAAAGGACTGGAAGACATTGGAGCCGGTATTGGTTTCATGCAGAATGTCAAAGCCACATTTCGAGTGCCATAGGGTTGAATGAGAGTTACAAAAGTATTTGTATTGCATGTCTTGATGAAGGCAAGTGTCTAATATGCTCATAACATCTTGACCTCCCACATTATCACATTGACTTTGTAAAGATTCACTTCACTGTGTGTTGCTTCTTTTCTCTGTGTGATCATCCCCTCAGAAACAGGCTCCTGCCTGCTGTAAGTATGTACAGGTTTTGTGTAAATTATTAATAGATGGAGAAGATGACCACATAACACAAAGACTGAATCTGGTATATGTGAATTTCTCCCTCACAAACAAAAATTATTTGAAACGTGTTCTCATGTGTGGACACTGAGAAGAGACGTGAAAAGCCTTGTAAACATTTTTATAGTATGGAAGTGGGAGACCAAGCACACTCCTCGCACAAGGAGAAGACCGGCGCTCTGGGGACCTCTGAGACGTCACGTCCTCCAGAGCAAACCTTTGTTGTTAACATATGGAAAGATACATTTGTCTGATATATGGTTAGTTGTCATTATTTTCATAACATGATTTCTTAATGAATAAAAAAAAAAGTGCTTTTAACTTCGAACGCTTGTTTTTACTAGCAACTGATCCTGCAGATGTCCTATCCAATAAAGAATATTCCAAATGTCCTAAAAGGCTACTATGGGAGGTGGCAGTGAACACTTTTAAGCTCACTGTCAGCCTCTTGAGAAAACAACGCCTACACAGGTGTGTTCAATATCCCAGGTGATTAGCCCCGTTGCCCAGGGTGACGTGGGCAGAGCTAAGAATTTCATGACATCAATTCAATGTACTAATCCTGAGCCAACATGTGACCTGTCTTTTAGTCTGTTTGAAAAATAAAGATGTTTCGCTATGGAAAACCAAATAATAATAATGGAATCCTTTACCAGAACATTTCCAATAACAGAATCATCAAAATCATTAAGAGGCGATCCAAAATAAAAACACACAATGTAGTCTTGTCTTTAAAGAAAGTATCATAAGTATCATCTTCCAGTTGTAATAGTCTCTGTACTAAAAATGTGAAAATAAAGCATATGCAGTACAATAATGAACGTACAAGGGTCAGATGAAATTGCTTGCAGGGTGCAATGCTATTGACTTTAGTTGAAGGAAGAGTTTATTTAAGAGCAAACTTTGTCACTCCAGGGTCCTTCGATCTTGCCAAACAATGTAAGCTGCAGGGCTTAGGAGATAAGGAAAATGTATTAATGATATTTAAAACCTAAAAGCTATATCAAACAATAAGCTCTTAAAGTAAATGCATTTTCAATATATTTTAATATGATCATGTCGTTGTGTTGGCAATAAGCTATAGTAGCAAGAATATAACCTCCATGTTGTGGGATACATAATAAACTAGAGAATGCAATTCCTGAAGAAATTGCTAGTGGGAATGCTTTATGCTGAAAATCTGACGCTAAACTGCTATGCTGAAATGTAATGTGTAAGAAGAAAGTGAAGAATATAGATTGAAATTATACATGAACACTGGGGGCTTGAATGTGTGATGAGAGAAGTAAAGAAAGTAAAAAGGCTTGGAAAAGCAGCAGAATATTTGAAATGCAAACTTTTGAACTAACTTGATGGCGAATGATCTGTCACCATGCCAACGGCATTTGATGACATCCCATTATAGGCTTAGATGCGTTGATTGCTGCATCATTACCAAACCTGTGAAGTTTTGGGCCATTTGGAGCATTTTCACTGAAGTTATGAGAAAACCGTGTTTCATGGCGGGCATTGTGTTGCCATGGCAACGGCATGTCCCGTAGATGTCTTCACTGCTGGATTGTTAGCACACATGTGAAGTTTGAGCACTTTTTGAACATTTTCATAGGAGTTATAGCGACATCATGTTTTATGGCGAGGGATGGAAACGGCATATGGTGAGATCTCAGATTTGGCGTAGAGCTGTTGAGGCATGGACCGGTGATATACAAGTGAAGATTGGGGGACGATTGGACCGTGTCGATTGGACTTACAGCGACATCGTGTTTCATGGCGAGTGGTCTGTCGCCATGGCAATGGCATTTGAAGAAATCTCAAAACTGTCCCGTAGATGTCTTCACGGCTGGACTGTTAGCACACATGTGAAGTTTTAGCACTTTTTGACAATTTTCATAGGAGTTATAGCCATATCGTGTTTTATTGCAAGGGATGCGTTGCCATGGCAACAGCTTTTGAGGAAAACTCACTAATGGTATATAGACATGTTGAGGGCTGGACCATTAACTGTCATCTGAAGTCTGGTGGTGTTTGGACCATTTGCATAGGTATCACGACAACATCGTGTTTTATGGCGAGGGATGCGTTTCCATGGAAACAGCCAATGGTGAGATCTCAGATTTGGCGTAGAGCTGTTGAGGCATGGACCGGTGATATACAAGCGAAGTTTGGGGACGATCGGACCGTGTCCATTGGAGTTACAGCGACATCGTGTTTCATGGCGAGCATTGTGTTGCCATGCCAACGGCATTTGAAGAAATCTCAAAACTGTCTCGTAGATGTCTTCACGGCTGGACTGTTAGCACACATGTGAATTTTGAGCACTTTTTGAACATTTTCATAGGAGTTAAAGGGACATCGTGTTTTATGGCGAGGGATGCGTTTCCATGGAAACGGCATATGGTGAGATTTCAGATTTGGCATAGAGCTGTTGAGGCATGGACCGGTGTGGCAGAGAGAGAGAGAGAGAGAGAGAGAGAGAGAGAGAGAGAGAGAGAGAGAGAGAGAGAGAGAGAGAGAGAGAGGAGAGAGAGAGAGAGAGAGAGAGAGAGAGAGAGAGAGAGAGAGAGAGAGAGAGAGAGAGAGAGAGAGAGAGAGCAGAACCCAGTAAACTGAACTATACAAAACAACCTTATAGATGGACAAACAATAGCAAGGACGACTACCAGAAAGCAATCAGACATCAAACAATTCAATCCCAATTAGACCATTTTCTATCCACCCCATATCCCCACAGTAATGATGGCCTGAATCAGGCTGTATGGGACATTAACAGCATCTTTGACAATGTGGCAGATTTATCCAATCTGAAAAAACCACAATATCATAAATCAAAAAAGTCAGCCAATGAAAAGTGGTTTGATACAGACTGCAGGCATCTGAGAAAAACCCTCAGAAGTTTATCAAATCAAAAACACAGACAACCTGACAATCCTGAGCTTCGCCTCCATTATTGGGAAACACTGAAACTATACAGAAGAACACTCAGAACTAAAAGGGAGCAACATGCGCAGCACCAACTTGATATCATTGAAGAGTCCATTGACTCAAATCATTTCTGGAAGAAATGGCACTCTTTCAGCAAACCACACAAGGAAGAACTGGCTATTCAAAATGGGGACATTTGGAAAACACACTTTGAAAACCTGTATAGTAGCGTTACACTGAATTCGGCCCAAAATGATCTCCTCAACAAACTACACATTCTAGAATCAGTCGTTAAAGACAACCAGAACCCTTTAGACCAGCGGTTTTCAAAGTGTGAGGCGCGCCTCCCCTGGGGGGCGCCAGAGAGCTTCAGGGGAGGCGCAGCTTGAGAAAAAGAACAACGAGAAAAAGACGAGTAAAGTGACACTTGCACACTTTTGGCTGTCTGTGGAGACTGTGGGTTCCCCCACCTCGCCAAAAAGGCTGTAAAAGTGCTCATTCCCTTCACCTCCACCTACCTGTGTGAGTGCAGGTTTTCCGCATTGACTTTGATCAAAAGCAAGTGCCGGTGTCAGTACCATGGGTGTTTCTCAATCGCGAGTACGCTTGCTTGGTAGCACATGTCTGCCGAGCATCTTGCTTCAGAAGCGAGTCAAGAATACTTCCTGGCATTCGGAAAACGAAGTGTGGAACACGCTAGCAAGTGTGCAGGTGTGCGTCATATGAGAGGCCCCGCCTTACATCTTCCGCCACAGATTTGGGGAAATTGGTCCGTGCGCAAAGCATTGTGGGGATTTTAAGACCGCGAAGTCTACTCATGTGCAGACTCGATATTTCTCCAAACGGAGTACGCCGGGCTCGGTAGATTTCCAAGTATACTGGAGATTGGAACAGTACTTCGGCGGCACTCGATGACGTAGTATGCTTGAAATAGTGGCTCTGAAGCAGCTTTACTCGCGATTGAGAAACACCCCATATGTGTTCGCCCTACCATATGTGTTCGGGGTCCGTCGCTTACCAATGACGTCACCCATTGTGATTGGCTGTACGGAATCGTAGTAATCAGCAGCGAACCGCTTCAACACGTGTATTTCAGTGTATTCACGGCATTCATTTTGTTATTCTACAGTATTGTTGTTTTATAGTTATTTGTTAATGTAACCCAATTTGTGTTCTTTGAAATTGAAAAGGATATCGCATTGTGTTTGTTACATTCATTGCAGTTGTATAGGCTATGTGTTAAGTGTAATTTGGCATGTCCTATTTATGGACATGCTTTTATTTTGAAGGAGAGTTAGCGCAGTTGACAGGAAGTTGTTGTTGTTTTGGAAACAACGTGACAGAGATTAACGGAGAAAAGTAATATCTACATATAAAGACGGAGAAAGTAAACGACAACGTTTATGGTTAAGTGTTAGCACCCCCCGAAGAGGCACAAGCTCTTACGTTGATATTGGAGATTTCAATAAATTCAATTTGAAAAAAAAACGGGGAAAAAAACCAAAAACGAATATCTGAATAACGAAATTGAAACCCGAATAGTACTCCAACGAACGAATATTCGGATATTTTGGTACAGTAGGGCTGTACCCGAATAATATAATAAAGTTATAGTAAATAATAACAAATTCCAGTGTTAGAATTCCATAATTCCATATTCATAAATAAAATGATATGCAAATAACATTTTCTTGGCTGTGGACTTGTACTCTACATAATTATGTTGAGCTCATGGTAATCTAATTCAATAAACAATAACTGCAATGAACAGATAGCATTTTCTGACTCGTAAAATGATTGGATATGGTGTAATTTGGCAAATGATTCTGTGTTGAAAAATGTATATCTTTAAAAACTGCGTTGGTGTATTAGGGCGGGCCATACTAATTTTTCTTGTAAATCGATCGAGAGGGGTGTTCAAATAACGTATTTTGGTGTGTAGAACACAAATCTATTTAGATGCTTTTATTTTGAAGTTGTTGCTATGGAAACAACATGACGGAGAAAAAAGTAATATCTTCTACATATAATAACGGACAAAGTAAAGAATGAAGTGTATGTTTAAATGTTAGCACCCCCCGAAGAGGCTCAAGCTCTTACGTTGAGTCTGGAGTTTCAATACATTCGGAATTTGACCGTGTAAAATGTCCTCTTGGGTTACCGTACAGCCAATGCGTGACGTCATTGGTAAGCGTAACGGACCCCGAACACATCTGGTAGGCCGAACACATATGGTACCTACACCGGTGAAGGCTGCAGCCAGAGGATGATCTGCGTTTATTCCTGTGTGCATCAAAGACGCAGACTCATTGTTCCCACTAAAGTAGGGGTGAGTGTAATAAGGAGGCAAAGTTGACGTTCAGTGTGTTGCCGGGAGCATATAAGGATTTATCCACGAT